GTCTCTGTGATCATCCCCTCCACAGACCTCCATCCCATTCCCCTCCCAACTCAGTGCTCTGAGGAAAACTGTCCAGACCTGGAGTGTGCCATCTGCTTCAGTCAATTCAACAATGTCTTCCGCTGCCCCAAGATGCTGCAGTGCAAGCATACGTTCTGTCTGGAGTGCCTGGCTCGCATGAACGTCAAGTCGGCCGAGCCCAACGCCATCCAGTGTCCGTTGTGCCGCAGCTTTACGCCCTTGCCTTCCCTCGGCCTGCCAAAACTGGCCACAGACTCAGATGTTTTGTCTTACCTTCCAGCTGCTATGCAGAGAGTCTACAGCATCCGTTTCCTCCGCAGCAAAGGGAAGCTGGAGGTCAAAAGGTCAGTGAGGGTGAAAGCTTTCTCCTTGCCTTTTTGTCCAAGTGGTTCTTTGAAAGTTCAAATATTTTCTTACTAGGTTTCCCCAGTATCGCAAAGGAAAAACTGAATAGCAGGAATATTTTAATACTCATATTAATCTTAATGTTGTTTTGGAGTGAAATCAACAAGTCGCGCTGTTTATCTGAAATGTATTTTACTGGTGATGGAGCTGTGAAATTGGCTCGGAGCAATATATCAGTTATTAATCAGCGAAAGGTGTGCGTATAGATGGATTGTGTATTTTATTTCTAAATATTTTTGCAATGGTAACTGCGCAGAACTTAATTATAGAATATAGAATAAATGCATAAAACATTTAGTTTGAATTTATTTAATTTTTGTTTTTAAGGTCAACTGACGGACAACGTCGGTGGCCTCGGCAGTCGCTGACGTCTCTGAGATCCATCAACCGCTCTCTGGACGTGGGCATTCCCAGTGGGAGCGCAGAAGGTCACGGTCAGTCACGCGGCACTGTGTGCAGTCTGACGAGCCACCCGGTGTGTCGTGCCTTACTCCTAACATCTGTGGTGATGATGATGGTGCTTCTGACTGGTGTCATTATCTTCCTCCTCACCTACCACAGATAACTGAGTGACACCTTGTCCTGTGAAGTCTTATAAAAATTGGTGTCATGTCACGTTAAAAAAAAAAAAAAAAGATTCTCCTTAATTACACGAAGCAACAGCTTTTCCTGCTGCTATTTAAAAACTGATCCAGATGTGCAATAAACATCACTCTTTGAGGCGGTGTTGGATTCAACAGCTTATAACTGAGCTTCAAAGCGAAGAGCTCCTTTTTAAATACAAAACTGCAGAAACTGGATAAAGACGACTGAGAAACTAGAAGAAGGTGGACTTTTAATCGTGAACATAACACTTCAGCTTCTAATAACTGCCCAGGTATCTCTTCTTGTTTTATTCCTTAGTTTTACAAACTATCAATGCACTTTTATCTGCCTCCCCTGTGCCAAAGGCTGTACATGATCAGCTTGCTGTTGATAACTTGATTAACATAACATCTTGTTGTT